TGCCAGAGCGGAAAATTATGTTCTTCTTGATGAAATTTTGAATCATCTTGGTCGTGATGATGGCTAAGGGCTCAACTTTGATCAACTTGGTGAAGTAGTCAATAGCGACGATGAAGTACTTTTTGTTTCCATTGGCTTGAGTAAAGGGGTCGAGCAGATCCATTCCCCATTTGGCAAAGGGCCATGGACTGCTAAGGGCCGAGAGAGTTGTGCAAGGCCGATGGGAGATGTTGGAGTGTCTCTGGCACTGGTCGCACTTCTGCACTAGCTCGGTTGCATCATTCTGAATTGTTGACTAAAAATACCCTTGCCATAGTGATTTTTGGGCCAAGGCTCTACCTCTGAGGTGGTTGCCATAGATGCCTTCATGGATCTCTCAGAGCACATACTTGCCCTCCTCTTGATGAAGGCATCAGAGGTAGGGCAAAGTGAAAGATCTTCTATACAACTTCCCTTCAAGCAAAGTGTAACGGGTTGCCTGTCGTCGGACTCTTCTAGCTTCATTCCTGTCATCAGGCAGTTTCTCATGTATCAGGTAGGCAATGATGGGGTCCATCCAACAGACAATGCAACCAAGGGCTGCACCCAAAGTGCTTGCCAACTTGGATAGGGCATCGACCCTCATATTCTCGGCACGTGGGACTTGCAGTAAGGCAAAATGCTGAAAGTGGCAAGCAAGTTCCTGCACCTTGGCCAAGTACTTGGCCATGTTGGGTTCTTTGGCCCCGTACTCGCTAATCACTTGGTTCACCACCAGTTAAGAATCACTGAAGACTTTGATGTGTTGGGTGTCAAGATCTTTGGCAAAGTGTAGACTGGCGAGTAAGGCCTCATACTCAACTTCATTATCGGTGGCCAAGAAGTCAAATCTCAACGCATACTCCACTTCATTATCACCCGACGTGAGGAGTATGAGGCCTACTCCACTTCCTTTCGCGTTGGATGATTCATCCACGAACATTCTCCAGGTTGGATGGGGTCCCTCGTCATCCATGGGAGTTGGGCTGATGGGTTTGCTAAATGTGCACTCCACCAAGAAATCAGCCAGGACTTGTGCTTTGGTTGTAGGCCTCGGCTAGTACTGCAGGTCAAACTCAAACAGCTCTATAGCCCATTTGATCAGCCAACCCGAGGTCTCAGGCTTGGAAATGATAGACTTGAGGGGTTGGTTGGTCAAGACAGTGATGTTGTGGGCCTGGAAATACGGCCTGAGTTTCCTGGCCGAGACCACCAGGGTGAAGGCTAATTTCTCCACCTTGGGGTAGTATGCCTCAACGTTGCAGAGGACCTTGCTGACATAGTAGATAGGCCTCTACACTCCTTCTTCTCTCACCAACACAGAACTAACTGCCTCGTCCCCGACCGAGAGGTACAGGTAAAACATGTTTCCTGGAAGTGGCTGAGTGAGTAGAGGGGGCGAGGTGAGGTAAGACTTTAGCTCGTCAAAGGCACACTGATACTCTTTTATCTACTGGAAGTCCTTTAGTTTCTTGATGGCTTGGAAGAAAGGTAGGGAGTGGTTGATTGACTTTGACATGAAATTGTTGAGGGTAGCCACTTAACCGGTGAGTCTCTGAGTTTCTTTGATCAACTGAGGTGGCACCATGTCAAGGATAGCCTAAATCTTCTTTGGGTTGGCCTCAATACCCTGTTGTGTGATGACAAAGCCTAGAAATTTTCTTGAGGTGATGTCGAAGGCACACTTGCTGGGATTGAGCTTAATGTTGTACTTCCGCAAAGTGGCAAAGGTCTCGGCTAGGTCCGAGGTGTGTTGGTCGGCCTTCAGGCTCTTCACAACCATTTCATCTACTTATGCTTTGATGTTTCTCCCCATCTGGTGCTTGAAAACTTTATTCACAAGCTGCTAGTAGGTGGCTCTGACATTCTCGAGGCCGAATGGCATGACCTTGTAGTTGTAGGTGTCATGCTCAATGATGAATGAGGTTTTCTCCTCGTCCTTGGGATGCATCTTTATTTGATTGTGCCTGGAGAAGGCGTCCATGAAACTAAGTAGCTCATACCTTGTAGTGGTGTTGACGAGGTGGTCGATCCTCAGCAAAGGAAAGTTGTCCTTGGGGCAGTCCCGGTTGGGGTCCGTGAAGTCAATATAGATCCACCATTTCCCATTAGCCTTCTTCACCATAACCACATTAGACAACCAGTTAGGGTAGTGCACCTCTCGGATGAATCTGACGTCAAGTAGCTTGTCAATTTCCTCTCCGATGGCTTTCCAATGTTCCGGTGCAAAGTTCCTCTTTTTTTGTTGAATTGGCCTAGAGTAATGACCGAAGGGTCAATTCCGGGCATGTCAGCAGTAGACCAAACGAAGACGTCGGCATTAGTTTTAAGGAAACTTACCAGCTCGAAAAGGTTCATCCTCATTTATGGGTACAGAGATGAGGTCCTCGACCGGCTGGCCTCAGCTCGCTAGTTTGTCCTTTAGGTCAATGAAGGGATGGGATATCCATCATATGGATGGCCGAACCCTGTGGGAAAGTTGAGCGAAATTTCAAAAATTTCTTTTCTCCCATCCGGAAATCGTATTCCCAATTTAGAAAACTGCATTTTCAAGGTTCGTTCTTGTAACCAAATCGGACCAAATCTGAAACCAAGATTAGGGAAGGATATACCTAATATAGAATCTATGCAAAAGGCTCCTCCCAACGCAGGTGCTCACGCCCAAAGAGTGTACCAAATCCTCCCTCCACTAAAGATGACATAACTTAGGATGAGGTAGGATCAATAGGTAGTTCTTCACCAAGAACCTCTAATTCTTTAGCCAGAATTGAATGGGGTAGTGAGCACAGCTTCAGAATTGTTTCTTCTAGCAAGAAACAATATCAAGATCTAATCTTGATCAGTTCCAAGAAAATAGAGATCGAACAGGGTAGGGCGGCAAAAGTAGAGAGAGAAGAAGGCAGAAATAGTCAAACTGTGTTTTCTGTGTTGTGTAATTTTCAGGTCCGCCCTGCTCTTTATATATAACCATAGAGAGATGATCTCCTAATCTGATTACGAGTTTCTTGATCCAAATCTTTATTTGGATTTGAACTCTTTAAGTAATAAGGATAACTCCTTATCTTATTTGTAGATCAAGATCAGCTATTCCTAATCAAATTAGGAATTCCCTGATCCAAATCTCTATTTAGATCTGGACTCTTTAAGTGGATAAGAGTTATCCTCTTATCCTCATTTGTTGATCCATACCCAGATTCGCCCCTGTTTAATTAATCCAATTAACCCAATTCGAAATGGGCTTTAGGCCCATTAAGCTTTCAGGCTCACTTCCTTTTAATGCTAGTTAGCTTGGTTCTCTTTGTATGGCATGGGACCCTATCATTGATCTATAAATCAAACAGATGGGTTCAGCCTAGCCTCTGTTACAATGCTTGGCCGAATTCACTACTGAATACAGTGAACCCCTGAGTCCATCACCATGGGCTCTTAACGGGCCCAACATTTACACTAAATTGTCCTTGGGTCCAACCATCTTATGAAGGCCTAAGGACTATGGGTAGATGCAAGATTAGCCCATTAGGTATAACCCTCAATGGTCTTACACTTAACCTCTCAGTCCTTAATGATCAAACACTACTCGACAAGAGATGACCTCTCCCTCGGTTGCAAGGTACAGTGCTGCACTCTCTACTCACAAGGATCCCGAGAATTAAAACCTTTTAAAAACAATTTGAAAACATAATATATAAGTATATCTCTATATAAATATATTTTGCAAAACCTAATTTCAAACACATTTGAAATCCACTACCGGAAGTTTAGGTTTCCATTAGAGAGAATGCATTTCCCTGATCATTCATTTTGTCCGACAAAGGGGTTGATCCTGTCACTATGATCACCCACTCAGATGAATTCTCGGACTGCCCTAGCATACCTAGGTTTTGACCCCCTCTAAGGATCTCATTGATCGGCATATCAAAGACATCCCAATCCGACACCTAGTGCAGTACCATAATCGAGTCTAGGGGTCAGGTGTAACATTCCAGTTTTTCCCATCTATCTCCAAGGTGTAGGGCAATACTGGAATTTGGTTCGGTTTAGGGTTTCAAGAAAACCCACACTACATGTACCTCAGGTCTCACCCTGGTATCTGAGACAAGCCACCCCAACCAACTTGGCGGTACATCAGTGTCAGCCTTGGTAGGATAAATCTCCCTAGATCTATCCAATGATTGTGAAGATTCTAAACTAACACGAGTCTCATAAGTGTCCGGTTTAAGGGTATTATACAGAAACACACCATAATAAAATGAATCAATTATGCACTTTATTCATTTACAATAAATAACAATAAGTACATCAATTTGATTAGAGCTAAGGGCATACACTGTCTAATAGTCGAGGCCCTCCAATGGTAAAGCTTCTTTATTCTTTCCCTTCAATGCTGCCACATAACACTGTCGAGCTGCTTGCTGGTTCGCTCGAGTGACTCCGATGCCATGCTTAGTGGGGAAATTCACGTTGAGGTGCTAGGATGAGATGGCCACCTTGAGAGCGTGAAGAGTCAGCCTCTTGGTGATGGCATTGTAGGGGGAGCCGATCCTCACAACCAGGAACTCAATCATCCTCATCACCTACCGAGGCTCTGTCCCTACAGTGAGAGGTAGGGTAATCTTTCCCTCTAGTCTAACAACATTCTCGGAGAAGCCAATGAGTGGCATATCGTCTGGTTGGAGGTGCTTTGGCGCCAACTTCATCTTCTGAAAGGTCTCGTATAAGAGGATGCCTTCTGATGAGCCAATGTGGACGAATATCCTATTCACAAGGTAGTTGGTGATGGTCATCGACACCACCAATGCATCATCATGGGGGACTAACACCCCCTTCAGGTCCTCATCCGTGAAGGTGAGGGCTTCATTCTACTTTGACTTCTTGAGAGCCAGCCCCTAGATGTTGAGTTGCGTGGTGTAGGCCTTGTGGGCCAAGGCCAAACCCTTGGTGATGGCATCGATGACTCTAGACAATTGTTGCGGTTGTTGTTGCTATTGTGAGGAGGCGCTGACATCTCCCATCATGTACTCCTTCAAGTGACCGTGGCGAATGAGGGGCTCAATCTCATTTTTGAGGTCATAACAGTCCTCAGTGTCATGACCGGTGTCGCGGTGGTACTTGCAGTACTTTTTGGGGTTACCCCTCTTGGGGTTCCTCTTCATCTTCTTCGGCCACTTCATGCATTCCTCCTTCCCTACTTGCATGAGTATTTGTGTTGGGGTGGAGTTGAGTGGAGTGTATTTGTTGTAGGTGAGGACCAACAACTTCTTGTTGCCATCTTTACTATTGTTGTTGTTTTTGTTGTCGTGACCGTCTCCATTCTTCCCCTTCTTCTCTGACCCCCCACGGTTGTGGTCAGATTCTCCTTCATGGTGTTTGCCGACCGAGACCCCCTCGGCGGCGAAGTACTTCTGAGCCTTTTCCAAAAATTCTGCCTTGGTTTTGGGCGGTGTCTTCACTACAGAGTACTTGAGGGCCAATCCCGGCAGGAGGTCATTGATCGCTATGTGCATGGAGACCATGGGGTCGAGGTCTCGAATCTTGAGCTCTTCCTTCTTGAAGCGGTCGATGTAGGATCGCAGACTCTCGATGCGCTTATGCCGAACGGGCATGAGTGAGACAACGCTCTTCTGGCACCGTCTGCTGTTGACGAAATGGGCAAGGAAAAGACTTGCAAATTGCTTCCACGAGCTGATGGAGGTGGGAGCCCAGAGAACCATTGGTGGGATGCCCCTTAAAAGTCGCCAGGAAAGCTTGCCACATTAAGGCATCAAAATATCCGTAAAGAAGCATGAGCGCTCTAACGTAGGGGCTTTGAAGTTGGGTGGTAGGGGATCCGAGGGGATGGCATCGGTGAAAGCGTCCATTTTGTTGGATAAAGGGTTTTGGCTTGCCGAGGTGTCTCCTTGGCTTTCCTTGACCTGCCGAAGTTCATTTTACATTGCACAGATCTACACCTGTAAGTCGACTATCTTCTGGTTGATGGGGGCCTGGCCCTCGTCCTGGTCCTCTCGGACGCGGAATGGGTTAGCCCGGTTGCACGAGTACTGTGATGCAGGTGCATCTTGGTTTCGTTTGACACGCCGATCGTTGAGGAGTTCTCAAAGGTCCGAGGCATGTAAGGGAGAGGTGCGGTGTCAGTCTCCAGCCCTCGGAGGAGGGCTATAATCGCTAGAGTGGCCATCTTCATCCTGGGGGCTTTCCACTCTGTAGTTTCTTTCATGGTCCTGGCATTGATCGCGGGACCCTGCTGGATCTCCTCCCCTTCGGCTGGGGAGGTGGGAGGTTCTCGATGGTTGACTAGCATGTTGGCTGCTGCCATTGGACCTTAAGGGGTCGGCCTCGTGGGGTTCGATTGGGCGCCGAGCCAGTGGAGCTTGGGAAGAGCGTTTGTTGTGGTGCCCCAGGCTTCTAGTGGGGCGGCCTCCTATCGGTCGCCCCACCTCGTCCAATCGCTAGGTGATGTTGTCGAGCTGGTTGATGACCATAAAAAATTGGTCCATGGTGACAAGGTTTTGAGCGTTTTGCGTGTTGTCTTGGTTATTAGCCATAATGTTGGCTACATCAGTATCCATCGGTATGTATTGCAAATTTTGCACCCCAAAAACTAATCAAAATTTGCACCACCTTACTTCTACCTCCATTCTCTATCATATAAATTGGGGATTGCATCATCTTGCTTCCTACTTTCATGGTGTTTGGAAGCGTGGGTGCTTTTTGGGACCGATTTTCAAGAAAAAATGCCCATGCTTTCAAGACACGTTTCTCACAAAAAAATGCTTCTGCCACGCTGACAATGAGTAACACTATGTTATTTGGTAAGGTGATTTTCATCACTGTTTTTCATATATGTGCTGACAGATAAGCACCACATAGGATACACATCAGCCAACCGTTGGGGGAAACGGTTCATCGATGGGGTCCCGATTTTCAAAACATGCCCGATTTTTTAATAATCGGTTGAACCAAACAATAGAATACATGGGTATTTGTTAAAATGCCTATGTAAATCCAACGTGGCACTGTTTTTTCGAAAAACGGCCACGGTTCCAAACATCCCCTTTATTACCAAACAAAAAATCCACTTCTGCGTACCTCCATTCTCTTTCTTGTAAAAGTGAGTGCTACTTAATTTTCATTTACTTCTCACAAACCAATAAGGCAAAGTCAAAGCTGAAACCAACAAAACCGATCCAGAATCACACTCAGCCTATTTAGGTATCATCATAACCGGACTCGAAATCATTGAAAACACAACGGATATGACCCCGGGATCTCAATAAAAAAGAATATTAAATTGGAATTCATGAAGTTCCACTAGCATCTTGTTGTATCTTGGCTCTTCACAAACACCTTATAACATATACTTCTATTAAGTTCCATACCTTGGAGTGGAATAGTACTGTACATTTCATTAAAACTATTCGAATATAGCCATGCTAGCTTAGTGACTGTTCTCTCTCTCTTTCTCTCTATAGGTAATCAATATATTGTAGCTATATATATCTATTAAAGGGATAGGAGTAGTCTCCCCTTTCGCCAAAAAGATTCTTCATTGAAAATTCTCAATGAAGAATTTAATATATATATATATATATATAAGAATTTAATATATATATATATATATATAAGAATTTAATATATATATATATATAAGAATTTAATATATATATATATATAAGA